GAGATCCAAGGGCAGAGGAGGTAGCAACACAACTCCATCTAATGGAGGATTCAAACGTCCAAAAACACATAATTGAAACCACAAAATATCTCCATACTGCTCGTCCGTAGTGATCCAAGTGTCCTGAAGCCCCGGCATAAAAAGTTGTTTGGAAAAATGTAATTTGAGCTCTGTTTTTAGCCTCAATGTAGCCTGTAGCTCTAAGCGCCTCTATGTGCACCGCGTTCACATGTGCGTGCCTGCGCATGAGACCAGTGAAAGCACGTGAACACACATGAATGTGGTGCCCATGTCTCACAGTCTCGCTGCCTTTATGTGAGGGCTTCAGGACACTTGGATCACTATAGACGAGCAGTATGGAGATATTTTGTGGTTTCAATTATGTGTTTTTGGACGTTTGACTCTAAAACTTCACCTGAGCCTCCCTCGACATATGGGTGAGTAGATACGTAATGGCTGAATTTTAATTTTTGGGTGCACTATCCCTTTAACTTGTAATGTTACTCAATGCACAAGTTACAAAAAAGATTCAACCCCCCATAGAATTACCTATAGACATGAAAACCTTTTTTTGCACCAGGCTGTAAACATGTTTATTTGTGCTGTAAAGTTGGGCATTTTAACGTGGGGGTCTATGGGGATTTAGTCTGTTTTGGAGCCAGCCTCAAGTGGCGATTTCTGGCACTTCTGTGTTGGCTTCATTTATCAGCCTCAGAGGTTGCTGCTTGGTAGAAGTACAGTAGAAATAAGCATGTGACTTGGGCGTGCAAAAGCTCCACTATTTAACTGTTTACAGACAAGTTGGAACTGGTTTTCAACTGGAACCAGTTCTCGATTCCCTCCCTGCTCTCAAATCTCAAAAGATTTTCTGCTTTTCTTTGTCTGTTATGATAGTAATAGGGATGGGAATCAAGAAATCTTCTTTTTGAGAAATCATCTGATTCACTGGAGTGGTATGTGTAAGCTTATTAATTCCTCTTATCAATGCTGTGAAGGCCTTATTTTACCACAAAGAAAAGTGATCGGGAAAAGTGAAGGGAATCGATAAAGAATCAGACCGATAAGCAGAATCAATACTGGCATTTGAATCAATAAAATCTCATTATTTCCTGTCCGTAGACAGCAAACTGAATATTTTGGGGTCTTTTGAAGAGTGTTTTGACAAGGTCACCACGTGCTGTGGGAACTTCTGATTAACATCTTTAGCCCTATTCATAATATCTGTGTTTTACACGCACATAATGAGACACATGTTGAACACCTTTTACAAGCATGTGCCAGCTTTAGTAGTGCTGACAGTCAGTCTTTTTATATCTGAGTTTTCAAGGTAATGCAGCACGCAGAGAAAGCCTCACAGCCATTATGACGCATATCACAGAAAAAAGGAACATGTGCACAATCGCTGTATGAAAGGCTTAACATTGAACTGAAACACACCACAAACTGCACTCGTAGCGCCTCACTAAACATTTGAACGTTATGTGAGCTTTTGACCTAGTGTGAGGACGAACACACACACACACACCCACACAAGAGGAGAGTGGCTATTGGTCGGCTACTGACCAGCTGTACTGTCCTGCAAAGGCAAAAGATCTTAACTTCATTTTGTTTTTTGTTGAAAACAGTGGGTTGTTTTTGCTTTAACTACAAAAGTTCTGAAGAAACCAAGTCAAAATCCTGTTAATTTATTAAAGATTCTCTGGCTTTGTTTCGTTGTGTTTATAATGCTTTGTTTATTCAAGCATGCAGTACTTGTTTTTGGTGTTGCAACTTGCAATTCTGAAGGATAGAAAAAATAATACTCTCTGGGTTGGGAGTGAGTTACTGTCTCAAGCAAGAGGGTAGAATGGAGCTTGAGATGGATCGGCAGTTTGGTCCATCTACATCCCAACCCTCACCTATGGTCATGAGCTCTGGGTAGTGACAGAAAGAATGAGATTGCTGATACAAGCAGTCAAAATGAGTTTCCTCCGTAGGGTGTCTGGGCTCAGCCTTAGAGATAGGGTGAGGAGCTCTGACGTCTGGAGGGAGCTTGGAGTAGAGCCGCTGCTCCTTTGTGTCAAAAGGGGTCAGTTGAGGTGGTTCAGGCATCTAATCAGGTTTGCCTCCTGGGTGCCTCCAAGGCTATGTCCCACTGGTAGGAGGCACCGGGGCAGACCCACGACACAGCGGAGGAATTACATATCTCATCTGGCCTGGGAACACCTTGGGATCCCCCAGAAGGAGCTGCAAAGCGTTGCTGGGGAGAAGGACGTCTGGGATGCTTTGTTTGGCCTGCTGCCCCCGCAACCCGGCCCCGAATAAGCGAATGAAAATGGATGGATGGTTTTGTTTTAATTCAATACAAATATTAGTTTACCCACTTTGGTCCTAATGATGTGAGTTGGTAAAGTACCATGAAGAGACAATCTGAGGTTATAAAACCTACAAATTGATTTATTTGTATTATATGAAGTAGTTTGCACAGTTTCATAATATATCACTAGATTTTATCTCTGTCATAGTCATTAGCCTGATGATCCCTTATCATTTTGCAGACAATGCAAAGGAGTACCTTAACTTCCAAATAAGAGTCAAAGATCAAGTTTGAGCCCTTATTATGTCGCTGGATAAATAACTTCATTTAAAAAAGCAAAGGATTGCTGCATTTCCAATATTATCCCTACATTCAATTTAGTTGGACACCAGAACAACTTAAAAATTAAGCTTTGTGTTAGTTCATGCAGGCCACAGAAGCCATATGCCCCCGCTGTAACCAGCTGACAGCCAGCTGATCGGATCATTATTTCTAATCAGACATGCACCAATTGCTGTCCATTCTCACAACAACATGGTCCATTTAAATATGGCCTCCTACCCACTGATACCTGCTCCACTAATGCTGCCACACACTGCTGCTGGCAAAGCTTTGCCTCCTTCACCCCAGCCTCCACCTTTCCAATTCAGAGTTCTAACATGGCTCAAAATAAGATCAGGTAAACTTTATTGTCCCAAACGGGAAATTTGCAGCAGATCTAGTCAGCAGATGAAGAGAGTGGCATAACCAAAAGAATATTACAAGAATATTTTTTGAGGGGGGATTACGGGGAAGTCAGGGGTGTCTATGGTGTCAGGCAGGGGATCCACAGCCATGAGCCTCCCCCCTGCCTAGCATATTGTATGTGTCCAAAGGAAAGGACAACAGGGGTAATAGAGCCACAACAGTAGGCTAAAAGGATAAAATGGTATTTAATGGGGCGTCAGTGGCTTAGTGGTAGAGCAGGCAGCCCGTGTACAAGGCTGTTGCCGCAGCGGCCTGGGTTCGAGTCCAGCCTATAGCCCTTTGCTGCATGTCATCCCCTCTCTCTCTCCTCCTTTCACACTTAACTGTCCTGTCCATTAAAGGCAAAAAATGCCCCAAAAAATCTTTTTTTTAAAAAAAAGGGTCTTTAATGTCTTGCTTTGGGGCCAGTCATGTACACCCAGGGGGGTTGTCTGCATGCTCCTTGTCTGATCCAGGGAGCAGCCTAAGAGTGGAGTCATCAGCACTAGGTATAACTGTATTTCCACTTGTTGCAATAAATAGTTAAATAGGGCTTTAACCCTTTGCCTTTGTAGGACAACACAGAAATACAGCATGTGGCAATACACATTTCACAGTGTATTTTGACTTGTGTAAAACAGGTGTAACTAATAACATTTATCATGACAGTTTTCCAGGTGTCAGTACCCTGCATGCTGGGTCACTGAAAAGAGTTACTGCCACAATAACTGTGAGGTAAACCTGTGCTTTTAACTGCTAAGTCCACTTTCTACAGTGAAAATGGGACATACACTACACGTTATGTGGTCACTGAACGCAGCATAACACTGCAGAGCAGTATTTTAACTATTAAATAAATATAAACAGAGCTTAAATTGATGAAAACCACATATTAATGCTATAGTTTTATATTTCTACACGGTTTGCTCACAGTTTGAGAGGCAGTCTGGAGTGACATTAGCCAGCTAGCTAACATTAGCGAGGCGAACTCCACAGTTAAGTTACCTCTAACTTGACTCACCTCCTCTGCCCAGTTGTGTAACATACATTTTCCTGTTGTATTTATCACAGTAGTTGGCTGTTCGGTCATTGTAGCACCAAGAAAATACTAAACCCTACTAAACTGGATCAAAAACACAAACTGAAACCTCTCTATCACCTCCCGTTCACTGAATGAAGTTACATAGCAACCCACTTAGCAACAGAACTCTGTTGACGGAAGTGTCGCCATGACAACCGCTTTTCTTTGCTAGGCTGAATGGAGACAAGATGCAGAAATTATTCTTGACAAATTCTGCATACATAAGTGCGACTTTACAAACCAAAGGCTCCTCGTTACCTTCTTCTTATTATTTTTTTTTTTTTTACAGTAAACTACATAAATAATACTAATAAAAAGACCATAAAACTTTACTTGCAAGTATTAACTGTAAAATATGTAAGTATGTGGACTTTGCACTTAAGACTGGACAAGAGACACTTGGTTTTTATGCATGAGCTGACTGTATATATGCTGAGAGTCTTGAAGAGTCTGTAGAATTAGGCTACAGATATGTCTATACTTTCCTGTCTTCTCCTTTTTAAATTATTTAATTTTTTTATTATTTAACCCTTTTAAATGTGAGCAAATTGGCCTGATTTCTTTTATAAACATGGGAAGACGGCAATGAGCAACGAAAGAAGAAATGACCCAAAACAATTCGCAATTAGCAAACAATTAATAAAAAGAAAAAAATTGAAAACAATGCAATAAGTTAAAAAAAAGGAAAGAAAATTGAAAATCTGGAACCTGGAAAGAGAGGTTAAAAATTATAATAATTCTGTAACAAAAGAAATCACACAAATTTGCTCATTTAACAAAGACTGATTGATTTTATGTTTGATTTTTTAAAAAGTTTTTTAAGAAAAGGTGGTAAAAAAAAAAGGAGCAGATTTGTGATAAAAAAAATCACAATAAAAAAATGCAGTATTCCAAAAATAAATTTCAATAAACATTATTTATTTTCCCCCCAGTACAACTTTATTTGCACTTCTCTTTATTTGGGCCTATTGCACATTAATGTAAAATTATTCTTTTAAGAAGCACAATTTAATTAAGTCTTTATGGCAACATGAGCATGGCATGTAGAGCAGAATACTGACATACAATATTAGGTTTCAGCACCTTTCACTCAAATTAATATACAGCTATTTAATTAGTAGGTTAACCTGAGTATTGTCATTACAAATAATACTATGACTCTAGCAGGACACCACAGCTGGGAATAACTGGGACCATCATTAGTCTTATTCACCTGAACTACTCCCACCATATCAAGTCACAATATCTGCAGTGAATAGTCCATTAGGTTTGGTGTAAATTAAGGCCAGAGTAAACTGTTTGATTCTGGTAAATATTCATGGGGCACCACTGGTGGCTGATGAGCTACTCATCATGAGTTACTCATCAGCCTCATACAGGACTTCATCTATGAGCACATCATTGTCATCGACAGGGATCTCCTGACACAGCTGCTCTTTGAAGGCCAAGGCGATGGTGTAGGGCTTTCCCTTGGGGTGCTTCATGCAGCGCTCCAGGTAGGTGTCATAGAAGCCCTTCCCTCGTCCCAGCCGGTTCCCGGACCGGTCAAACCCCAGCCCCGGCATCAGGATCAGGTCCAGACCTCCTGCAGACAGCGCTTCCTCTCTGCTGGTGTCCTCTGCTGTAGGCTGTCTGATGTTCCAGGCTGTCAGAGGCAGCGTCTCCATGTCCTGCAGGCTGTGGAGCTTCACCATATCCATATGGTTGCTGGTGGTGGTCTCGTACCTGGGGATGAAGCAGCTTTTACCCCGCTTGAAGACGTCTTTGATGATCTCCTCAGTGCGCACCTCGTCGTGCATGCTGAGGAACACTGCGATCCTCTGACAGGACACATACTTAGGGTGTGTGAACAGCTGCTGAGACAGGACCATAGACTGTCGGTGTTTCTCCTCGTCACTCAGAGCTGCAACCCGTCGCTTTATTTCTTTCCTCAGAGCTTGTTTAGCTGCACGTAAAGCGGCCATCCTGTCCTGAAGACTTTAAATTAAGGTAAATAAAATAATAATTCAACAAATAAAGTGTGTCTGTAAACGCGTCTGCTTCGTGGTAGAAACAATTTCGACATCTGCACTTTTCTTTCCTTCCCACAAGTTGAACATTTACAAGTTTATCAACATATGACAGCAGTTGAAGTTTGACTGGCGCTCTTTAAAATACGTCATCACGTTGCGTCGGTGCGTCAGCTCTTCTTCTGCGGTGAATTAATTGCACCTGACAGAAGAATCAGTGCCACCAGCTGTTTATCTCATGTATGGAAACCTGGCTGCTGCACTTTTATGATATTTATTATATATATTTATATATATTTGCCTTTTTGAAAGTCTCAACGGAATATGCACTGTAACATGGAGGGTTTTAAGTAATTTTAAATAATTATAATTATATTTTAATAATAATCTATATAATTACATGCTTGAATTAATAAACAGTTGTATGATTATATAATTTGATGCTTAACTGTCACTATAAATAAATTAATGGCAAATTAAGTGAGACACTAAATATATATTTGTTAAATTCATTTGTGTTTTTATTCATCTATTTATATGTATTTGTACTCATCTTAATATATATTTTTTCATTTTTAATTTAATATTTTTTTGTATTTTTTCATTTTATGTTTTTATTCCTATGTTTTATTCACCAATCAGATGCTTCAACCTGCCCCCTGACATTAGATGTATGAAGTTGACAGATGTATTTATTTCACAAGTTACTCTTTGGATAAATGAAAGTGTACATAAATAAATAAATAAATAAATGATTATAATGGATAAATAAATGAGGTAGGGCGGCACAGTAGTGTGGTGGTTAGCACTCTCGCCTCACAGGAAGAGGGTTGCCGGTTCAATCCCGGGCGTGGGAGCCCTTCTGTGCGGAGTTTGCATGTTCTCCCCGTGTCAGCGTGGGTTCTCTCCGGGCACTCCGGCTTCCTCCCACAGTCCAAAGACATGCAGATTGGGGACTAGGTTAATTGGTAACTCTAAATTGTCCATAGGTGTGAATGTGAGCGTGAATGGTTGTTTGTCTCTATGTGTCAGCCCTGTGATAGTCTGGCGACCTGTCCAGGGTGTACCCTGTCTCTCGCCCGATGTCAGCTGGGATAGGCTCCAGCCCCCCCGCGACCCTCAAGAGGATGAAGCGGTTAGAAGATGAATGAATGAATGAATAAATGAAGTAAATGAACAGATAAATTATTATAAAATCAATACAAAACTACATGTTGTGTTCACAGTCCCAGAAGAATGACTTGTAATGACTTTGATGACCTGACTATGACTACAGAAAGCTAAACTATAACTTTAAGGTTTTGTTCCAGAATTAAGAAATTATCGTTAAAAATCACGTCAACATTTATTTATTTATTTATTACTGGAAACAGTAAACAGCCCTGAAACATAAATTTGCTCAACACGTTCATGCAATCTGCCTTCCATCCTGCATCAGTGTTACGTGCCTAATGCACCTTCTCATCGGCTCGCATCGTCTTGTCACAAAACTGCAACCTTAAAAATATGCTTATTAACCTAACCTTAATTCTAAGATTAAATCTACAGGAGACCCCACACCTAACTGTAACTTCAAGCTGAGATGATTTTATTGATTTACAAAGATACACTTTGATTATTTGCTCCCTGTGCTGCTGGCACGGCTACAACCATGACTTGTGTTGGACTTCTTTGCAGATTTTCAAATGACTTTTACCTGACTGCTGTTAAATTCCCTAACTGACCATCATAATGTTATTTTGGCACTAAATCATGTCCAACAACAAAAATCTAATCAGATAGGGGTCTGTATTCTGATATCAGTGTAGTATCTAGTATCAGTACAAGGCAAATGAATTTCCATGAATACTTGAGCCTTTATTATTCGGTCTAGTTTGACTTTTTTTTCCCAGGCTTTAGAAATAAACTCAGCCCAAACTTTACCACTCAGTCCAACTTCTTTTTTTTTCATCTAACCAAATTAATTCAGGATTTTTGTTCTGGATTCATACAAAGGTGCACACAGGGGCGGAAATCCCAGGGGGCACAGGGGGGACATGCCCCCCTCTCAAGTAAAGCTGTACCCCCCTAGAATAATTTGAGACACAATTAATAATTTTTGAACAATGCAGTAGTATTTATTGAAAGCACAATGTAATCGGTGCTCATTATAATCGTGCAATAATGTGCTATTTAAATCTTAAAAGATTTAGTCCCCCCCTCCCATTCCTAGTAGTGGTATATCCCACACTCTTTCCAACGGGCGGGGCTAGGACCCGGCTGCCCACATCGTGCATCGCGGGGTAAGATGTACACTCACACAGACACAGGCTGCATCCCAAGTCTCTTATTTTATACTGCTAACTCCTAACTCCTGACTTGAACTGGAAGTCGTTCGAGGTCCGCCATCTTTAAGGCCGTCTCATGTCTCTTATTCCTGCCAGTAAGGAGTTAGCGTTAGGAGTTAGGAGGGATCTGTTAGGTGCGATGAGTAAGGTAACACGAGAGGTTCCTAACAGGAAGTCTTCAGCTTGAGGCCCTGACGTATTAATACCCGCCCCCTACGTCTGGCTCATTTGAACGAGAAGGCGGAGAAACAGCGCAAATGTACCCATTACATGCATTCTTTGCAATGAAATGCTGTAATTCACATGCCTACGTGACTACAAAGAGTAACGTTAATGATATTTCCTGCAAGACTGTCATGTTGTAATTAAGTTTATTTTATTCACAACCCGTTGCGTTGTTCAGTGGACTGTCTGTGATGTGTGGCTGTTAAATGTGCAGCTGCTCAAGTCCAGAACCACACGTGTTGATGTAACACCACACACAAACACACACACACGCACACACATTTCCCATCATTAATTGTCCTGCATGTCATGTGAGTGGAATGTTTAATAGCTTGTAGGTAATATTAATTAGCCTATTATTATTAATATTAATTAATATTATTACTTTCATTAATGTTGTTGTAAGCTACTGTCATTACCGTCTGTCCTGCATCTCTCTCTCTCTCTCTCTCTTTCTGTCTCATTGTGTCATACGGATTATTGTTAATGTATTATGTTGATCTGTTCTGTACGACATCTATTGCACGTCTGTCCGTCCTGGACGAGGGATCCCTCCTCAGTTGCTCTTCCTGAGGTTTCTACCGTTTTTTTCCCCGTTAAAGGGTTTTTTGCGGAGTTTTTCCTGATCAGCTGTGAGGGTCCTAAGGACAGAGGGGTGTCGTATGCTGTAAAGCCCTGTGAGGCAAATTGTGATTTGTGATATTGGGCTTTATCAATAAAATTGAATTGACTGAGGCAGACTGACAGGTCTGATATGTCTTATTCACTCAGCAGCTGACTTGTAGAATGATGGCGAGTGGATTTAATAATATTGATAATATGATAATAATAATAATGATAATGATGCTCATCACAGTGACAGTGGCAGGGCTACAGACCGTTCTTTAATTGCCACAAACTTCGGCAAATGACTCAATAACAATTGTAATACATGCAAAAGTGTGTGACCAAAGTGTATGTGTACGCCAAACGCTGGCTCCGTTATGCAGCAGATCCACCTGTGCCGCCGTCACCAGAATAGGAAGTCGCGTTACGTGACGCTTCAGAGTAAGGCCGTCTCATGTCTCAATCAGCAATCCTCGCTCCTCACTCCTAACTCCTGACTCCTTAAATGTTTTCCTAAGTGGGAGGGACTAAACAGTTAGATAAGGTGGCTAGATAAGGTGGTTAGCAGTAATTTTAAGGGACTTGGGATGCAGCCACAGTAACTTAGTTACAACACATTCCATTTACTGTTACAACAAGCCCCAGGCCCAGGCTGATAATATAAACTGTCTGCAACATTTCTCCTGCATTGTTCAAAAGCCAGAGTTTAGTGATAGTCAGAGAGGACAGGAGAGAAAGAAGAGGGAGAGGACAGGACAAGAGCAGTCAGTGACGGAGTGGCTCGTTGCTAATGGGTACCTGTCTGTAGGCTCTCCACCTGTCAGTGAGACAAACATGAAAGACGTGCAGTTTAACCGACGAGGAGCGGCCATTACGCGCGACTATTACGCACAGTTGTGACGGAGCGGCTCGTAGCTAATGGGTACCTGTCTGTAGGCTCTCCACCTGTCAGTGAGACAAACATGAAAGACGTGCAGTCCAACCGACGAGGAGCGGTCATTACCTGCGACTATTACAAACAGTTGTCAGGTGCGCAGCGGCAGATCTCAGCACACTGTTTATAAACCAGTTTACCAGTTTAATTGCAGGAAATGTTTAGTTGTTAAGCCATTTCTCATAAGTATAGACATTAACTGTATATCCACTTTTCTACATGTGGCTGCTGCTGGCTTGAGTCTCGACTCTCTCGTTATCAATAACTTGCAATGCTGAGATAAATGTTTAAAGTCCAAAAAAAGTAATTTATTACGAACAGGTCAATAAAACAGGTTTCAAAATTCAGCGTTTCAAAAACATTTTATAAAGTTATGATCTCACTGCCGGTAAAAAAACGAAATGAATGAAGCCTTATTGTTTTGCTGCTATTAAACAATGAGAGACATGTTTTCTCCGTTTACTTAATGGCATAAATATTCACACTACTGCGCACAGGGAGACAGAGACCTGCTCTGCTCCAGACACACTCAGCACCTTGGACAGCACGGCGCACCTGACTGTTGTCGTTGTGTACATGTTAATTTGATTTCAATCATTTTGTTTTAAATCTGGACATGTGCAGGTGGACTCAGCCAGTGCTGAGAAAGGTCTTATGCCTGCCTGTTGGAGAGATAGAGAGAAGATTAAAGCGTCAAATTGTGGTAAAAGATGCTGTATAAAAGACAGGCTACAACTTTTTTCCCTTGTCCCCCCCCCCTGGAATTATTCTCTAAAATTTTACTGTTTATTGTTCCCCCCAACTATGAAATGGGATTTTCACCCCTGGGTGCACACAGGTTATATAAAGTGGAAAACTCTTGCTACATCCTGCAGAACCACGCCAATCCAGATGAAATACAAACTTTTTAGGTGGTCCCTTTAACGAGCTCTGTATCACACAAGCCCTACAACTTCCCTGGTTAATGTCAACAGCTAAAAAGTGACAAACAGCAATGAGTTGAGAAAAAATATTTTATTTTCTTCTGTTAGTAGGCCTAGTGGCGTGACAGCGACAAG